CATTGTTCCATCTATAATGAGGTACAAAAAGTCATGGGATCTCCCATTAATGAGATAAGTTGGCCTAGACTACATCCACTTGGGAATTCCCACTTGCTTAGCAAGAGAGGGGGAAAAAATGAATTTTCCATTACAGTGCAAGTGGGCGACCTGCCTTGTAACCCTTATCGTCACATTGCTGATTTGTATGCCTAATGGCCATCTCCCTCCAACTTCAGGTCTGAAAGAACATTGTGAGCTTCTGATTAATTAGAAAGAGCACATGGGCCAGGTTCACTTGCTGCAAAAGCAGTTCTTTTTGAAGGTTATCACCTTGATTTCTAAGGCTTTAACCTTTGGCCAGTATTTGCTTTTACTACTCACAAAGGATGCTTATAATATGCACTTGAAAGAGAATTCCTCTGAAGTATAGCTCTCCACTCCTATATACCATACAGGTTTATAGAGCCTAGAAATAATCTTGCAGCATTCAAACCTGAGAACAACCTGCTGAATATTATCAGACCTGTCTATCCAAACTATTATTAGGTCAATGGTAAGAGTATTCTAATATTTCTTCCTTGTCATATAAATTTATCTCTTTAGTAAAACAGAAAAACTGACATCCTTTCTCAAAATCAATTTCATATTTTACCACAAAATGATGTAGCCAATCACAGATATAAAATAGTCTGACTGAATACAAAGTATACACACACAAACATTTTTGTTTCTGAGCGTGTGTTAATCCGGCAGAAGACAGATAGGATTACAAATACACTCCTCATGTAATCATTGTTTCCTAATAAGTGTGAGCATTATTGTGATAGCTTTTGTGGCTCTCCGCCAAAGCCATCTAACCTTCCTGATTCACTGTACATGGATATGAGCTGCCTTGTGTGGGCTGGTAAATGATTTGGGTCCATGCTGTGGTCCATTACTTTGCTTAATGTAAATAATTTATTTCCCAACAGATAAGTTTCAAGCACCAGATCTGGAACCAAACCCAGTACAATTAGTTCTCTACCTACCCCCAGCTGTCTAACAGATACAGTGGGGAGAATGAACGTAAGGTAAGAATGCAGCAACATGAGACATGTTGACATGTGGACAAGGACAAAGATATAGCAGTATTTCCACAGAGTGCTTCTTCAGCTTCCAAAGTTTCCTAACTCTGATACTTACAGATAACCTAGTCAAATCACTCAACCAAATTGGCAAAAAATTACAGTTAAAGATAGTTCTAATAAACAAAGGGAGAGACTGGTAAAGAGAGAGATCAGTAGAGAGTCTATATTTCTTAAGTTGGAGGAAACCAGCGTTCGTAGATCTATCAGGCTTGTATCCAAGAGTCAATTAGCAAATAAGTGATGGTGACCCAGACTAATAGCACCTCTAGATTTTCCTCTACAAAGGTAAAGGAGAAGCGAATAGAGAGCTATTCAGTGCTCTTATTAAGAAAGTAGAAAAAAAAGTAAGCAATGAATTGAAAACGTTTCTGATGTTAAATATTACTTAGAATAATAAAATCAGCAAATCGTGATACAGACTTGCAGAGAAGTGGTCAGACAAGATACAGTTAATGAAATATATTTTCTTCAGTGTACAATACCACAAATGTGTTGAGAAAGTTATAAAAATAAATATACAAATATATTCTTTTCTTTCTGTCTTTTTTTTAGCCATTATTAGCAACACATTTAAAATTGATTATATATTATATTATATATATACAATCAGGGCATTTCTAGAAATCCATCTACTATGTTTTCCTGTCTCTACTGCAGACTGATTTTAAAGGCTTTTGGAAATCACAGAAGAAAAATGGGGATATATGATGCTTTTTATCCTCACATATCCTCTTCACCATCTGTATTTAAGGATGTCCTGAGCTCATAGCTATGTATGCCTTTATGAGTATTTGTGGATGTCCCATCCCTGGAGACACTGACAGTTTATGTTGGGTGGGTCTCTGAGCAACCAGATCTAGCTGTAGGTATCCCTGGTCATTGCAGAGAAGTTAGACCAGATAACCTTTATAGGTCCCTTCCAATTCAAATGATTCTATGATTCTATCCAATTCTACATTGTCAGTAAGTATGAAACAAGTACTTGACTAGGTTGAAAAAATTCTAACTACACATATCCAATGACACATTACCAACATTTTGGACAGGTACATAGAAGCCAGTGTGGATACTTCTCTGACAACACCACTTCCATATTCAGCTGTGGTCAGACAGGATGCTGACAGAATTATTAGGAATATACAAAAACAATAAATCTAATTGCAATGTTTCATAAACACAATGTGGATGCACATTTTTTAGTTTCTCACACTAGTCTAGTCAGCCCATCTCCAGAAGGATAAGGTAAAATAATATACACATTTTAAATATACATGTGTACAAAATACAATATAAAATAAATATGACATAAAATATTAAAAATATATGGTTTTATATGTCCAGAGAAGGGCAATGAAGCTGGTGAATGGTCTGGAGTACAAGTCCTATAAGGAGCACCTGAGGAAACTGGAACTGTTCAGTCTGGAGAAGAGGAGGTTCAAAGAAGACCTCATTGCCCTCTACAATGACCTGAAAGAAAATTGTGGCAATGTGGGAGTTGGCTTCTTCTTACGGGTAACAGAGATAGAACAAGAAATGGCTTCAAGTTGCACCAGCAGAGGTTCAGATTGAATATTAGGAAGAAGTAAAGAAAGATAGGTATTGCATTGGAACAGAGTGCCCAGGGAGGTGGAGAAGTCTCCATTCCTGGAGATATTTAAGGAATGGGTAGATGTAGTACTTAGGGACATGTTTAGTGGTAATATTGTGGTAGGTGAACAGTTGGACTAGATGATCTTAGACACCTTTTCTAACACTAAAGATTTTGACATATTATAAAATATCTGTACAACATAGTCTACATTCTATGTAATACAAATCTGAAAACATTATCAAAAGTGCTCAATGTTATCTTCATAAAGATTGTAAATATAAGTGGACTTCAGCTTGTAAAGAGACAACAGACAGAAATAAGGCAGAGTTAAAATAGTTATATCCAGCATGCAGCAACAAGTGATCTTTCTATTTTTTCTTATATTCAGGCAAAAATTATATTCGTTACTAAACATACAGGATATGTCCAGGATTGGAAGAAAATATAGTGCTCGTTGGTTTTGGGGTGTAAACAAATTTCTATTTTTCTTCCAAGTAACTTCTACGGCAGTTAGAAATTTCACAACACATTGTGCACATGACTCTTGTAAACTGAATGCAGAAATTCTGATATGTTATGTTTGTTTGTTTACTTTCCTCCCTAACCCCCCGGGTGTTTTATCCTCCACATGGGAGCCTCATGAAACAAAATGAAGTCAAGATTTTCTGTTTGACTACAAAACACCTATCCAACAAAGAAAAACGTATAAGACTTTTCAATCAGTCTGAAGCCCAAAACTGTGGAGACCTATGATTGGCTGAAGTAGAAAAGCCCCCAGAGAAAGATAGTTTTCATCCATTTTAGCATAGAATGTGAAATAAAGTCAAAAAAGTAAGATTCTATATTTCACAGTTCTTATAGAAATTTGATTTTCTGCAGAGCCTATATTCTTGGAGAATTTCAATTAAGACAAGTCTAATGATTAGGTCTATGAGCAATGAAGTTATGGGGGTAAAGCAGGCATCAGTTGTTTGGGCATCCATACAAAAAAAAAAAAAAAAAAAAAGTCACTAAAATGAAAAATTAAACCAAATGAAATGAAACTAAAGTCCTGAAAGACAACCATTACCCTCACTAGTAGTTACGTATCAGGAGACTTCTGAATTAGCAAAATACAGTTTTACTTGAGAAAATGATCACTGCATATTTTTGATTTTACTTTTTGATAAATGCTTTAAGATATTGCATTGCAAACAACGCACTAGTAGCATATAGCAGTTACTTTGAATTCCTTACGATTTTCAGTGAAATCTGACATAATCCAGCATAGATTTGTTTTTTTAATCATTTCATCATTATTTCTCTATCATTAAAAGAGATACAATTTTTTAAACAAGAGTTGCAACATTTCCATTGTGATTCACGAAGCCATACAGAGATGGTTTTGTTAGGCAGCTATTTGAAGAAAGGGATTATTAGTCGTTCCTTCCCTTACAACACATACCATACTTAGAAAACAGGAACAGCAGAAAATGGATTTAAGAGGCTAATGTTAGGTGAAGTACAAGGCCTCATATCAGACATTTAAAACCAAGAGGTCCAGCTTTAAGTAGTTTCTTTTCAGCCACATGACCAATTCATAAGAAAGAAAAGGAGATTTGGACACCTAGGTCCACCATAGGTTTTAAGTTATAACAAAAATACTTGAGATTCAAAGAAGAAACCTCTTGGTTGTTCAGGACTTGAGTGGCTGAATGCACCTGTTTCCCACTCCACCCAACCCAGAAATCACAAAATATGAGCACAGATCAGAGAAGCACACTGGGCTTGATCTCTCACAACTGGAGACAGCTAGACAACAACATTTTAAGGACTGTGAAAAGTATCTGCACCACCAACCCTAGTTCAGGATAGACAACTTAAGCAGCTTAAGTACCTTGACACCTGCCCTAAAATTTTATTAAAGGTCACAAGTCCACAACTGTAATTTGCCACAGAAGGACAGTAAAGATAAACTGCACTGCTACAGAACATGTGTTTTTTATGAATTGGGTGTTATTATATAGAACTTCCAGAAGACATTAAGCACCCATGTTACAGAAGAGGATACAATGGCCTTGCTCCAGTAATCATCAGCCTAATTAAAGAAGAAAATCCACTTTTCCAAATTAGGTACAGGTGACACAAATTTGGCTTGTTCTAGGTGTGCTATAGCATTTGAAGATAACCAATATTTTACACACATACACACACACAAGGATGGTAGCAAAGTAATTAATTTATTATTATTATTATTATTTTTAATATAACAAGGTACACAATACAGTCTCATAAAATCTGCTCCCTCTGTGACCCTCTGAGAACAAGAAGACCTGGATATCTAACAGATACATTTCTGGTATAGGAGCTCCAGCACCAGCTGACAGAGAGGCCATACACATATGTAACAGCTACCAACAGACACTCTTTGCCAAGGGACAAACAAATCCTAATCAGAGCATGCTGCTCTCCAATAGACCTTGGCTCTGGAGTGTTCCCCCAGTTTTATGTTCTTAAGCACAATTTAGAGACTGAGATGTTGTGATTGAACTCTAAGTTATCCAGGAACCTCTGTCCAGGCATTATCACAGAGATGCCGACTGTCCTAAAGTCACCCTTCCCATTTGCATCTCTTCTTATAAAAGGGTTAACTTCAGAGGATATGCAAAAATCAAAGATCTGAAATAAAGCCAGGTCTAGGAATCAGTAATTAAAAGAATTTTGCTTTTAAGAATTTTCTGGACCTTCCAATGAGAATGAAAATGGATTGGTCATGCCAGAAAAGTTAAAAAACTATAAACCAAAAATAACATCAAAAACGTGTGCAGCAATTTAATTGTTTAACCTTTAATTAAAAGGAAAGGATTTTTTAAGAAACATTTAAGAAATACTCACACACCTCAGTAAAAGCATTTACATTTCTCTTTTTCTAGCATTCTGAAGTTACACATGTAATTTCCCGCATCTCACAGTGATAGTGATTCCCATAAACTCAAGCAGATGATTACTCTCCGTTGATGCATCAGGGTAAGTATTTCAAATCATACCAGACAAGTGTAAAAATTCAAGGAGATTAATGAATTTAAGCTTCAAATCTAGCAGGGTATCTTTTAATAAAATGCATTTGCAGTGTTCTCTACAAAGATGGATTAAATTATTAGACATATATATGATGTGATACTTTTCCTCAAAATATTATTGTCATTGCTAACTGCCTTTCCTTTTTAATCAGCTCTTTTCCAAAAAATTGTCCTGAATCCATATTGGAAAAAAAGCTGCCACTCTCTTCCAAAATCTTTCCATACAACATCATATGGTATGGAACATCCCTTTGGCCAGTTGAAATCAGCTATCCTAACTCTGTTCCCTCCCAGTTCCTTGGGCCTTTCACTGCAAATGGCCTTGGCTCTCTACAACACTGCTTAGGAGCAACTGGAAACTGGTGTGTTATCAACAGTGTTTTTCTCCTAGAACCAAAACATAGCATCATACCAGACACTCTGAGGAAAACGATTATATCCCAGCTGAAACTATGACAGAGAACATTACTTTAGAGTAACATAATATTCTGTTTATCTGAAGCTTGCTACCAGAACATGGCAAATAAATATACAGAAGCCAGCAGAAGACATTTCCATGCTTGAATTTTATTGCAACTTTTTGCTTTTGACACAATGTTTTATCCTAATGGTCTTTTTTATTCTCTGAAAAGCACTTTAATTAAACAATAAATAAACATCAGTGAAACATGGATAATTACTGTAGGCATGTTAAAAATGAAAATCCTGTGCCACAACTGCCTGCAAGTCAATGAAAACATTAGTTATAGAAAAGTGTACCTTATTGGATATTTCAATTGTTTACCCTTATACTTTTAATCAGTGGCCATGCAACAGTTAGGAATAGAGAGAAAATCTGGATGTAGGAGACAAGTCACAAGAACAGCTTAAAGAATTCTGGGTACATAAGAAAATTCACCTTGCTTTTTAATCTGAAGAATTTGGGGTTTCTTTGTTTCTTGCAATCCTTTTAGAGGGAATGTTGTTTCTTCAAATCCATTTACCACTGCAAATGCAAAGATAAGACTGTCTACTATTTTTGCTGAAATACAGCAGAAAAGTAGAAGTAAAATGCTTTCCCACATCCCCCAGCATCTCCAGAGAGACAGCTGTTTTGATTCTGCAATTTGTGTATCATTGTAACTATTGCCACAAAAAAAAAAAAAAAAGAAAAAAAAGAAAAAAAAAAAAGGAGTGTTTTGGGGTCAATCTGTTTGTTTATTTGATCTTCTCAATTTAACACAATATTTGCCCCCACTACAGTAGTTCATGTTGTGAGAAATGCCTGTATTCAATAGTCCAGGGTCAGGCAGAATTTGCTATTCACAAATAATATAATCACAATTTATTTCATGCTTTTGCAAGAGCAGACAACCATGTGAACCAACCAGAGACATGTAACAGTCTGTATTTCCTAATTCCCAGCACAGATTTCTTCTCCTGTTTCCTCAGTGCTTGAGTACTCCAGGATTTACATTCTATCCAATTCTTCTAATTCCCTCAGTGGATGTTCCGCCCCTGTTTACTGCTTTGTTGACTGCTCTTCTCCTGTTCTTGCTTAGTTTTTACCTGTTATGGTATGCTGAGATAACCTATCAAAGCTGACCTTACCCTCTGACTATCATTCAGACTGCACAGCCAGTTTCTACCAGTACATCCTATGATGTTACTCAAAAATGCAGATATTCTATTCTGCAAGCAGGAAGTTATCGTGTATCAGAGCTCCATGTTACCTCTTTGGAGTCATAGCATCTCACTATTATGCAAAAAAAAACCCAAACCAAAACAAAACACATTTCTTTCCCCACAATGGAGATATGTCTCTTAATAAAAAGATAAGCCACACCTCTTCAATTCTTAGTTCTGTTACTCAGAATTGCCTAAAGCTAAAAATCTGTTTCTTTCTACCTTTCCTTTTGCTGCCAAGGGAGTAGGCAGCTGGTATTCACCTATGATTCTTTCCTGTCCAAATATACTTGGCATTTTGACGCTGCCTATCCCACTCCTTCTGGATCCTAATAGCAAGTGTTTAGGGCACACTGATCATCTTCTGAAGGCTTAGTCACCATCCTTCTACAAGCCTGCCATGCTATCTGAGAACACATATTTTTTTATGTCACAAAAATGTGGGTCAGGGTTTTTTCCTAGCTGGAAAATGTTTCTAACTTTGTCCATTCAGTGTAGAGGAAAAATTGTATCTGAGAGATATGTGTGACAATGAAATTCTACAAACTATGTAAGCTATTCTACTGAGAGCAGAACTGATCTTTGAAAAAATAATGGAGGTGAACAACATGATTGATGTCAAAGTCTCTTCAATTCATTTTTTTTCTGTAAAAATCTCACCTAATAACACTCAAGTAAAAATTGTTAGTGCCCTTTCTTGTCAGAATTTTTTGACCATTCTCAACATATGTGTGTAACACAAAAGTATCTATCTCAGCCTTGAAGACTACTTGTACCTGGAAAGGCTTTTTCTTTTGAGAATCAGATTCTCAGTATGAACGGATATTAACATCTATGTTCCACCACACAACAGCAGAATTTAATTTCAAAAGAAAGATAGTCACATAAGAATTCCAGGAAGAACATGATACCTCAGAAAAAATATATGTATGTAGTCAAACATTCAAATTTCCACTGAGAGCAAACTCAACAGAAAAATTTTAATCAAACTGAGAAATCGGATGGACAGTTTTCAAGAGAATATTTCACATTCTTCTCTGCACTGCAGTGAAACAGTGATTTGTTTCCATTCAGTGTGATATGTTCAACACAAATAGAAATAAAATGCATGTTACATCACCCTCAGCAATTAAATTCAGCTCTTACTGTCCTAACATCTATCCATTTGGTTGAAATCATCACTTGAGTCTTAAGCTAAAATATCTAAAAACTGACTCCTTAAATGTTCTTTTGGCTCTTTCCCTTTCCACGATGTCAACTAGACAGAGAATAGAAATAGTGATACTATATTTCAAGTAGTGGAAATTAGGCAAGGCATTGAGAGCATTTCTCTGAAGAGTTGATAATGGATTCCCATCATAGCTCTCAAAATTAGTCATCAAGTCACAATTTGAGATCAAATAAAGAGCTTTTCAAAGAAAAAGAGTATGAACTGGAAATTAATACAATTAGACTGGAAATTTGAGGTTTTCCAATTATAAGAAGTGAGAATCTGAAGAAATCTCCTGAGTAATAATAAGGAAGACAGCCATGTAACCATTGCTGAAGTGAAATTTGATGACTATTGTAACCAAATTGACTATAGTAACAAAAATTCATTTCCTGAGTTCAACAATTCAGAGAGTCACCTTCAATGCTTATGTTCTAAAAGCGGATTTATTTATTATGGTAATATGTAGCTTCTGTATGTGTATGTTTGGTGGCCCTGCTAGGCAGGGGGGTTGGAACTACATGATCCTTGAGGTCCCTTCCAACCCGGGTGATTCTGTGATTCTGTGTGTGATTCTGAAAATATTCTGAGTTGAGTCTCATTTTCCATCATATGGAAGAGAAGGAATAACAAATCATTACAAACATTTTTACATTTTTGATGACTGCATCCTTAGATTCCTACAACCTAAATAGCAGACATATACAATAATTAAAGCTTTAACAAAGACTATTGTGAAAATTTAGTTTAAGCAAATACTTTATATTTCTGTAATCTCAAGGAGTCCTGGAGCTTGTATGCATATGGAAAAAAAAAATCAAATAAGATTTCAATTAATTAGAATTTGATAATTAATTTTTTTTCCCTCTCTAAACTCGTAAAAATACTAAAAACCAGACAATACCACAGCTTGTCCAAGTAACATTTTTGTAGAACTCCACTTCTACTCTGAGCACTTTTAGTCATAATGTATAAAACTCCTGCAGAAGAAAAGGATTTGATACTTACTTGCTGATAATTAAATTTTAAAATATGAAAATATCCAGGAAGATTTTTTTCTCTTTTTCTTTTGGTCAGTTTTTGAGTTCAAAATATTGGATTGAACTCTGTGACAACAACACAGTATCGTTAGATCTATTTTAAAATAAATGTATTTTACCCATAATTTTTTTGTTACCTTCATTTTCTACTTTCAGTTAGAAAGACCAATATTCAGGATGTTTATATGTTCTATAAGACGTGCAATGATAAATAGTGATTAACTTCAGAAGATAAATGTATCACATTGATCTTCAACATCTCTACAGTGCTGAACTTGTACTGACTCAGTGAGATGACAATCAACTCTAGACTGTAGAATCTGCCAGCAGCAATCTTTCCCAGGTTTGGTATTTCAGAGATTTAAATAGCCATATTGTCCTTGACCTCAAATATACCTACCTCATGGCATGCTCTTCAACGTGGTACAATAACTACAGATGTTTCTGCAAATAGAAATGTACAGTATTGATATATTAGTTTTGCCTCAAGTTACAAGTTACAAGTTGCCTCTTTTTACTCTAGTCTTGCATAAGATGTAAAGTGAGAAACTTTATTTACCAAAGGAGAGTAAAAGAGCTTGATGCATTTACCTAAACAGAATGAAGAGCCAGGAGGCATACAGTTGCTCTCCTAAATAACAAGCAGGAAAACTAGCTAGTTCACCTCAGCAGAAGTACTAGTAACACTGGCACTAGAACAAACTTGTGTGGACTGATTGAGAAAAAAATCAGGCCAGATATTGAAAGACTTCAAACAGACTGGGAAACTATTTTCTGTTAGAAAGAGTAGAAACAAAGGAAAAAATGCTCATTTTCAAGACTGGATAAAGACTATGATTAAAATATGACATGACAGATCTGGGGCTGACAGCCTAAGAGGCTCTTGGCTATCTTATATCCTGTAGTCCTTGGAGAAAAAAAATGACATTAGTCACTCCTTCTTTTCAGTTGGAATCAGTTCTACTTCAAGCATAAAATTAAAAGCATCCTCTTTTAGTCTAAGCAATGCTTGGTTCATGCTACTTTAGTGGTTTACCCCATAGAAAAAGCTTATCTGTAAGTCAGTAGAAATGCATGCAATGCATTTTTGCTTTCAGATCTTATGAAAACATTTGTTTACACATACCAGAGCTTTAGTCCAGAACTTAAGTCCAGAATGGTTGTACCCTACATGCATTTGCGTTTATGCATGAACACAGCTGGCTAACTACTGTCAGTTGACTAACACAGTGCAAATCTAGACAGGCGAAACGGCCAAGCTGCTCGCTGCCTGACCTGTGATGCTGCTGGCAGAGCACCCTGTATAAACACTCCTCATCCATTTCAGCTGCAATATCCATTGCCTCACCTTTAATTCAGCCACTTCAGTTCACCTGGCTCAAGGCTCTTTAAAGCTGCCTTCATACTGAGTAGATAGATCATTGTGGCACTGACTTCATTTGTCTGCTGACTGACAGGATGTTAATAGCCCCTAGAGATGGGTGACAATTACAAAAGCGTAGGGAGGAGACGATGGCCTTCATCTTATGCAATTTACAGAAAGGACACAGGAAGTATCTGGGCAGGCTTTTTGATTTGTGAACATGGGATTAGGCATTCAAACAGATCTCCTGGATTTGAGAAGTACTGAACAATGTGTTGTGATGGTATGGGGGGGTAGTAATAGACTGTGAATGGCATGTTTTCATGATGCAGATGGAAGATGTTCTTACAGATAAAGAAAGTTCTGCTTAGAGGCTCACAAATTCAGGCCTCAGTTGCAAACTATTCATTCTTCTGATCTCCTCTCTGCTGATATCACTCAGAATAATCTGCGTAACTCTCAATCTCCAGTCAGTAAAATAGGGCTGATGGAACTTCCTAGCTCACAGTTTCATAGAAATTGAGAATGGTAATATCTAGATAAGAACTGTAAGAGTGTGGAAGTAATTTATTATTTAAAGTTTATAAAACAGCAGTTATTTTTGTATGCTAGGGGAACATACTAATGCTAATAAGAAAAAAATGATTTGAATGTATAGCAAAAATTAATTAATTGAATAGCAAACAATGAACATTCTTTCTTGGCACAAAAATACTGTTGTTTGCCCAAGAAATATTGTAGGAATACCAGTACTCCTTCAAATTCAGAAAAAGACTGTTCATATGCTCAGAGAAAAAAAAGAAAAAAAAAAAAAGAAAAGACATAATTATGCAGAATTCTAACAAGTAATTAAATTTTGAAATTGTGTCCACAAGTGTTTGGCAATTATTCGAACAAGCTGCAAACTAAATATAGTCTTTCATTAAAAAGATTATTAAGACAGCAAATTCAAGGACTAAAATATGGCAGAATCGCCAGACTTAACTTGCTTCTACAACCTCATTTCTAATCCCTTATTGACAGTAAAATTTGACAATGAGATAGCACATTATAGATATAATAGATACAGATATAATTTTTAAGAAGATAATTGAAAATTCTTACCTGTAGCATACTAGTCATGTCACAGTACATGACTTTTACTAGCTGGAAGTGGCAGAAGGAAACCAATATGCAGACAAGAACCAGAAAAAAGAAAATCTCTACATTAAAGTAACTGTCCATTCCCAATTTACTGGAACTTCTTTATGGAATTACTGGGAGTCAACTGAGACAAACGCGGCTTAGAAAACCTATGATATTGTCTGAAAGTATTCTCATGCCTTTAATGAAAGATCAGCTGCTTTTTGGACTGGAATAGTAGGAAAGCACAGTGAACATGTAGTCATTTGGAAGAGCGGGAGATAAGTATTTCAGCAACTCTTTGCTCTTGTAACAGTTTTAGAAATGAATAATTTAGAAATAATGTAAATATAAGATAGAGATTCCTACAAGAATGTAAGGTTAAAGCATAACAAAAGTTACATTTAGCATTTTTGTGTATTCAGTATTTTCTTTTTCTTTTTAATTTCTCTCTTAGACATGGTGTGACCTATTTCTTTGCATAATCCATTCTTTTTCTAGCATGGTTTCAACAGTATTTTAAGTAGATCATTTTATCACCTCCTCTTACTCTTTTCTTTCTAAAGTGTTTCTCTCACTATTTTCTAACTATTTTCAGCATGCTTTTGGAGTGAAGAAGCTCTCTGTGAATATTTCACAGATGGGAAACTGAGTCACACATAAATATAACATTTACAAATTCTAATTTTGGATTTAGATTGATGCCAAGTTATGTATTTTTCATATCAGAGAAGCTCCCATGTCTGAATAAAATCGTTGTCAGCAATTCTTAGAATTAGGATTTTGGACTGGTTTCATTCTATCTTAAATGCATGTGAACTTGAAAGAAAACAGGCAATTAAACAGCAGAAATCTTATCCAAAAGTAGAGCCAAAGCAGGCACAACAGCTCACACCTGAAAAGTACCATCGACAACAAATGGAATCAAGATATCAAACTCACATGTAAACATCTAGAATTAGGTGACGTGAATCCAGCTCAGTATTCCTCAAGTTGAAAACCCTTGACATCAACTTAGACCACCTCAGTGGCATCATCCCTCAGAAAGGACAGTCATGATAAATTTAAAAATTGTATTAACATCCCTTGTCTTTCATCAACTGCACTTCCCTTGTTCAGAGGGAAATGGAAGAAAAAGATGCCCAGCCCCTCTCTTGCCTCAACTGATGGGAGAAGCAATTTAACAAAAGCTTGCTTTTACATCTCCGTAATGCTCATGCCTCAGTCTTGTCCTTCCCTCTCCACCCACAATCCCCTCATACTAAAGACAAAATCCTACAAATGTTAGCTGTCAAATCTGTAAGAAGACAAATAGAATACCCCTCTGGACTGTTATCTATTTCGAGTCAAAAAGCTTGTGTAGAAGACTGAAAGTATAAAAAAATAAAAAAAAGAAGCCTTTTCAGATTATAATTTAGAAAAGCAGCATTCCATAGACATCTCCTGCAATATCCACCTGCCACTGGGAATTTTACAAGCCAAGTGGATGATTGTTGCATTGGCTGCAAATGAATCTCAGACCTCCATTATGGCAGTGTTAATTCAGCCACCAAATGAGCAGAAGTACACAGAGTAAGGCTCTCTCTTCCCCAAAAGAAAGATTTTATTTTCAGTTAACATACTCTGCTTGCAGGATCAGCTGTCCTAAGACTTTTGAGTTTGTGTTCCAAATGTACTCAAAGATCCCAAACAAGTTTGAAGCTCTTTCATACAGACATCCATATATATAGGCAACACACTGCCTTTCCTCCAGAGCTTACAAACCTAAACAGGCAAATCAGCATGCAGTAGCAGAAAATGCAACGTGAACAGACATTTTTTGTAAGCATCTTCAGTACTTTTCTATCATTGCTGTTTCATCATTTGTATATATTTACAATTAAGCTCCTTATTGATTCTTTGATTTTAGACAATTGTAGGGCTATTCTGAATATCACTCCCTCAGCATGGACATAATGAAAAGCAAAACTCCTTTATTTGCAAGATAGCATGAATCAACAGAAGTCTTTGTCCCATAAGAGTATAGGAGCAGGCAAAGCCACATCAGAAGCATGAGGTGAGAAGTGTTTGATAATAACAGAGAGAATAAAGGACTGGTGGGCAAGCTCTGCTGTCTGTCAGAATTGACCCAGTTTCCTCTGTTCTGCTCACAGCTGATTTTACGCATTACAGCCTTTCCTGTCATACAGTTTAGCAGCAGTGCATTCTGCTTTCTACAGTTCTAATTTGTCACTCTTCTCCATATCTACATTCTGATTTAATTTGCATGAATAACTTTCCCTCTCCCCACTTTCTCATGCTTTACCAATCATTCCTTTTCAGGAGCCTCAGCTATTTTTAAAGTTAAAAATGGAAGAGAATTTTTTCTACAATTGAACAGCTCTTCATCTTTTCATTGCCACACCATGTCCTCAGAGGCAAAGGTAATCTTGTGGGCCTTCTCCTGATGGAGGAAGCTGATGGTGTTTCATTCTCACAGTAGGGTGTAGGGAGCTCAATGTCTTGTCATTGGCATAAATGTTTAATATCCAGACAGGCAGAACTGTCTCATGATGGCTTGCTAATTATCCCTGTAGCAGACTGGATCTGATGCCCTTAAATTATTCTCCTTATTGGCTAAGCTTTTAAATCTAATCACTCATCATATTTTCAGAAAAATCAAACATAATGTTTTCACAGTAATGGTTCTACCAGTAATGGGAATGATACTAAAAACAGAGCAAAAGAGGACAGTGGTTTCTTTGATCAGGCATCGTTCCTAGCCATGCAGGCTGGAATTTGTACGATGAGCAAAATTCCACTGAACATGAGATCTTCCTCATACCCAAAGCTGTGGGCATTACCTCTGCTGAATGATGCAATTTGCAGAAAATTAGCAAATTTTTAGAGGATTCCGTTTTAGTTACAGTAGATTTGGTGGCATAGAACTTGAAAGTATGATTCAGCATTACAGCTACACAATTCATTGAGCATTTGTGTGTCTCTCTAAAGCAGAAACTGAAATAAGAATGACTGTAGAATCCATTATCAGATGAATTAAAACAGACAATTACAAAAAAGTAAAACAGTTTAATATTCTTTTTGCTTTCAAACCATCATCTGCTCAAAAGTATATTCAAAAATATAGTTGACATCCTCTCTTTCTGGTACCCAGTTAGGATGCAGAAAGAGTAAGGGTTTCTTCATATTGTATTCTGAAGGAAGAGAAATGAACTACCTTTCTCCTTTTCTCTAATGCAACAGAAACGCAGACAGATAAACATAAGCTGACACACTGAGAGTGAAATGAATGGAAGGTTCTCATAACAAAAGATTACAGTAAACATACAGAATGAGTTCAGAACGAAGCCTATCTTAACAATATTCTTTATTTTTCCATGACCGTGCATTATTAGCTATGTTACCTAATGAAGCCTGGAAAGATTATTTTGGGAAGATATAATCTATTTTTCATTTACAGCAAAAAAATCTAAGTCTTTATTTTAAATGCAGAGTTTAAATGCTGGCAATTGAACATACAACTACATTCAAGTTATTTATGACTGGTATAGCATAAATTAAGGTGCAATATGTGTTTTAAAGGTTCTTATGCTCAATAATAATAAAACCAGATATCACTGATATACAGCTTAACCATGAAACCATTAATGATTACAGAATCACACAAATCCATGTGAGCTGAAACACTGTTGTCACCACCGTAGGCATCTCATCTACACATGGAGAATAGTAGACATTTGAGAAACTCTATCTGAAAAATATACCTGTATAGTTGTACTACCTGTGGGAAAAAAAAAAAAGGAAATAACGAAATCCCTTCAGACAGCAATAAGGATGGGTATTTTGCTCGAAAGGTGTGGATTCCTGAATCATTAAGCTGGTAGACTTCCAAATGATACTGAACAATAAATACTTAACTCCATTCTACAATATTCTGTTAAAATGTCATTTCAGCCTGCTCAACATATGAAGCCTATTATTGGTATAAGCAGCTGGTAGCCATGCCTCAACCTACTTATGGATATACTCAATGACCCCAAAACCTTAGGGAGAATTTTTCAGCAGCTCTGATTTTTCTTTTTATTAAATTATCAACTTCTTATCCTCTCCAAAAAAAAAAAAAAAAAAGAAAAAAAAAAAAGTGTCATCCCCTCTCTGAAGGCACTCAGCCACTGCAGATTTTCTTTGTATTTTTCTCATTTAGGAGTCATTTCTGCTCTGTTCTGTCATAAGTCAAGTACCTTATGACAAGTCATTTATAAACTTTCTTAATACTTTCAGACTCATTTCCTATTATTTTTTTCTACAGCTAGAATAATCTCTGCAGAATAGCAAATTAATAAACAGTATAACTGCTGTACACGTGACTTGAATTTCTACGGGTAACTACTAGTCTGTGTTCTCTGTGGGAGGCAAATTTACTTATGAATCCACTGGTAGTTTAGAGTAGGTAATTTCACCTGTTTCTCCAAAAGATCTGCGTCTGGAGCATATGTTGATTTTGCTGACCAGTTTATATAGTGGTAAATGCAAGCTTTTGATAAACTACACTACTATTATAACGAAACATTGGCTGCATTTTAAATTACTACTATTTCTTATCAATGCATAATGAAGGATAATGCACACAGCTCTAGAGCTCATTTTGAGTTTCAAAACAAGTTACAATGCAATCACCTGTTAACCTTTTCATCCCAAGGGTTTTTCTACAAAAAGCTAATATCCTTGACAGCTCCTTGTTTATTTTCAGATCCACTCACTATTTGCCACTAGTGACCTTGCAAGCAGATTCACACCTTGCAAAGTCCCTGACCTTGTAGTCATTAAAATCAAATCACACACTGGGCAGGCTTCCATATTCATTAGGACAGCAAGAAGATAGATTTGAACATGGATCTGAAGTGACCAATACATTCATCAGCCAATTTCCATCATCTTCAACAATTTCAGCTTGCTTAGGGATATTACCAGATTAATTGATACAGAAAATTTTTTGCAACAAAACAGTAGCAATGTTAAACAAATGCAGTATGTTTCTAATTAAAAAGGCTGTGATAAAACATAAGTCATAAATTACAGGTTGTCCTATGAATACTCATATGAAGTTACAAGAGAAGAGCTCGGGTTTTTCAAAACATGTTCTTAGTGAAATCTAAGGAAAGATCATGTCTACAACTGGAGGAAACTTTGTATAGGATATTTTGGGAAAAAAATAA